GACATAATAAAAGCAAGCTTAGTTTTTCTCTAACCTGTGACCTTTGTATTTGCATTTACCATTACTTCAAAATATGAGGGTAAAATTAGATCCTGCATTTTGTGATTACTTGCTTAGAATTGGAGATAGAAAAGAAAAGGAACATAATTCTAAATGCATTACGCTTCCAAGAAGTATTATCTATCCATCTGAAGATGAAATTACGTCTTTAAAAAATTTAATACATCATGTCTTTCCAAATCTAGAAGCATATGCTGATAATGCACATACGATGGTTAATTTAGTTATTCTTATGCCCAGAAATGACTGCATTGATTATATTAACAAAATTTTACTACAAATTCCAGGTCAAATTTTTAAATACTATAGTTTTAATGAAGCAATCGACCAATAAGAATGGAGCCTACAAAACTTTTCCATCATTGATTAAACCTTTCTATCTGGGAAAGTCGCACTTGTAAACAGAGTGATCCAAAACAAAGAGAAAGATATATGAATAAATAGCCTTATTTGCAAGCTTCACAATTATCTTGACTAAGGTAAACTGTTATTGCATCTGTTCAACTATTATGTGTTAAAAATGTCATGATTCTATTAAAATGGGCTATTACAACTTTGTCAATTGATGTTTTTATATTGAGGATAGTGCCATGCATCTTTTTCTTTTTGAACATTTTCATACTTTTTCTTTAAAAGTCTCTGAAAGATCTCTATCCGGTACCGCCACTAGCCCAAGTGCATCAGCAACTTCATAGTTTTTATGAGCTGAGATGCTTCCATCATGATATGTGATCCGTCCATGTGACAGTGGAGGGTCAATTATTCATATCGTTGATCACTTCTATCAGAAGGTTAGATGCACCGTTAAACATTATATACTGAAGTTTCTTTGATGTTCAGAACTTGATTAGTAATGCAATTCCTATTTCCTGGTCTGGAGTGTGCCAGACGTGCTTCAGCCACTTTAAGATGCACAACAACCTTAGAAAATGGAAATCTTGTGATATGCACCTCTGAATATTTCTCTTGTTTGTCCCGTGTCAAATTACGCTTGTCTATAGCTGAATATAAACTTCTAACCAAGTGACTGAGATATAATCATCATGCATGTGTTGAATTTTCTTCATATCTGGCACTATACTAATGAAAGACTCATCTCCATATTTGAATGAACTGAGCATTAAATAACTTGACTTATTCAAAAAGAGGATAAAGGTTTCTGTACATAGTTTTTACTAGACTTTCGAACTATTGCGATATAGATTTCTATTTATGTACTTACATTACGTTTGTGTTCTTATCGTGTAGTTCTTTATGGAGCAAATACACATTTTTAGGTCTTTTACTGAGAATGCTATTCGTACAAACTTCAAATCAGGTTTCAAGTAAGTCTATATTGCTTTACACTGATAGATTATTTTAACAATATGTTGTAAATATGTATGTTAAGATTAAAACTTCTAGTTAGACCATTTTCGTACTAACCAGAAACAAATTAGTGCTGATGTTTATCAAGGCATTATAGATAGTGTTCAAAATGGGATACAAGGAAGTATAAAATTGGAAGAAAGTTTGTTTTACTGCAATCCTTTACATGTGGGCCTAGAAATATGCTAAAGAGATACATGAATGGAATAGCTATTGTGCAGTGCTTTGAAAAATTAGATATATTTTTTACTATGACATGCAATCCACATTAGCCAAATATTAAGCAAGAACTTAAGCACAGTGATGACGTTCAAAATCGTCCAAATCTAATTACTCGAATTTAGAATAAAATTAGAAGAGCTCAAAAATGACTAGTACAAGAAAATAATCTTAAGCCATGTTGTTGCACATATATATGTTATTGAATTTCAAAAAAGAAGACTCCCTCATGCACATTTACCATTGATTTTCAGCTGCATTAGTAAGATTTCTTGTGCTCAAGAAGTTGAAAGGATAGTGTCATATGAAATACCTAGCAATAATATATATTCTTATCTTCATTCTATTATTGTTAAACACAATATACATGGCCCTTGTGGATACCTATATCTTAAGAATGTATGTATAGATGGAAATAAAGATCATAAAAAATATCATAGGGATTATCATTGCGAAGAATGTTTATATGAAGCTATTATCTATGAAATATCTAATTCTTTAAGAAGTCTCTTTGCTACACTTCTTACGCTTTGCATCCCTAATGATCCAAAGTTCCTACGGGATAAATTCAAGGTTTACATGATCAATGATTATGTGCATGAAAATATATCGAGTTCAAGGCTTTACAGGATATAAGTTCTATTTTAGAACCATTAAGTAAAAACATAAACTACTATAGATTGGTATCTTTCGATGTAAATATAGATGAGAATGAAAGGTTGAGATGATTGGCTATAAAGGAAACATCGAATTTGGATATTGAAGGATGGAATTGTTGTATAGCAACTTTAAATAATGAGCAACAGTTTGCATATGATACAATTATGGACAAAGTGAAATCAGAATCAGGAGGCACTTTCTTCATTGATGATCTAGGTAGAATAGGCAAAACTTTTTCATGTAAAGCCCTGTTAGTTCGTGTAAGATCTCAAAAATTTAATTGCCTTAGCCACTGCATCTTCTAGAGTATCCGTATCTCTATTACTTGGAAGTTGAACAACTTTTTCGAGATTTGAAATTATTCTGAAAACAACTGGTGAAATTGTACGTTCTATTAGCATGCAATCGACGTTGGGAACTTTGATGAAATGCTTAGGTTAATGAGCATTAAATAACTTGTATTGATATTTTTCTCTCATTCTTAAGCTCTACAAAACCTTCCCATCATTGATTAAACCTTCCTGTCTGGGAAAGTCGCACTTGCACACAGAGTGATCCAAAACAAAGAGAAAGATATATGAATAAATAGCCTTATTTTCAAGCTTCACAATTGTCTTGACTAAGGTAAACTGTTATTGCATCTGTTCAACTATTACGTGTTAGAAATGGCATGATTCTATTAAAATGGGCTGTTACAACTTTGTCAACTTGATGTTTTTATATTGAGGATACTGCCATGCATCTTTTTCTTTTTGAACATTTTCATACTTTTTCTTTAAAAGTCTCTGAAAGATCTCTATCCGGTACTGCCACTAGCCCAAGTGCATCAGCAACTTCATAGTTTTTATGAGCTGAGATGCTTCCATCATAATATGTGATCCGTCCATGTGACAGTGGAGGCTCAATTATTCATATCGTCGATCATTTCAATCTGAAGGTTAGATGCACCGTTAAACATTATATACTGAAGTTTCTTTGATGTTCAGAACTTGATTAGTAATGCAATTCCTATTTCCTGGTCTGGAGTGTGCCAGACGTGCTTCAGCCACTTTAAGATGCACAACAACCTTAGAAAATGGAAATCTTGTGATATGCACCTCTGAATATTTCTCTTGTTTGTCCCGTGTCAAATTACGCTTGTCTATAGCTGAATATAAACTTCTAACCAAGTGACTGAGATATAATCATCATGCATGTGTTTAATTTTCTTCATATCTGGCACTATACTAATGAAAGACTCATCTCCATATTTGAATGAACTGAGCATTAAATAACTTCTATTGATATTTTTCTCTCATTCTTAAGCTCTACAAAACCTTCCCATCATTGATTAAACCTTCCTGTCTGGGAAAGTCGCACTTGCACACAGAGTGATCCAAAACAAAGAGAAAGATATATGAATAAATAGCCTTATTTTCAAGCTTCACAATTGTCTTGACTAAGGTAAACTGTTATTGCATCTGTTCAACTATTACGTGTTAGAAATGTCATGATTCTATTAAAATGGGCTGTTACAACTTTGTCAACTTGATTTTTTTATATTGAGGATAGTGCCATGCATCTTTTTCTTTTTGAACATTTTCATTCTTGTTCTATAAAAGTCAGTGAAAGATCTCTTTCAGGCACCGCCACTAGCCCAAGTGCAGCAGCAACTTCATAGTTTTTATGAGCAGAGATGCTTCCATCATAATATGTGATCCGTCCATGTGACAGTGGAGGCTCAATTATTCATATCGTCGATCATTTCAATCTGAAGGTTAGATGCACCGTTAAACATTATATACTAAAGTTTCTTTTATGTTCAGAACTTGATTACTAACGCAACTCCTATTTCCAGGTCTGGAATGTGCCAGCCACTTTATGAATCAACAAACATTATAGCGCACAAAATAACTATTGCAGTGAGTATCACACTTTAATATCCTATGTAGTTGAGGCTTTATAAAGATCATTTGAAGATTTATCTATTTAGTAAAGATCAAAGTAAGGCTAGATCTTCTACTCATTTTGCACTTATATATGTTGCCCATTTTTTATTATATTTTACAACCGTAGATGCACTATGAAAATTTTAACATTTGGCCTTTTTAGTTCTTTTTCCATGCTGCCAAAACGTATGGTGACTATTCTTTTTTATTTTCTTACAAAAGGCACTGCAATATATTAGACAATTTACTTTTTACTCCTACTCAAAGGTTAGTTAAGTACTTCAGTGATTCAATGTTTGTTCCTCGTGTGTTCCCTGTCTTGCCTGTACCATAGAAGAGATGATGACCCATCTACTATTTATTTTTGGTACCCTGTTTTCACACCTGAACTGGTTTGGAAGTATCATGCCTCTTCTCATGCATTTATTTGTGTATTTTCCCATTCAAAGTGATTATTCACTATTGAAGAACCAGTTCTCTACTGTCGTGCACTGTTGAGTCACCTTTTCAAGTATGATTTTAGACATGTTAACTATTAATGTGAAATTTCATGTTTATTTTATTGACCAACAGCTTTTGTTCTCAAATAATTATAAAGAAATTATTTGAAGAATAATAACATGAGAAAAAGTTAAAAAATACATGTTTCATTTACCAAGGTAATTTCGGTTGTTTCTCTTTAATACTTAATACTTATTTTCTTCCTGTTCAACTTTACCGCATGCCATATACACAAGAAGTCATTTGCCAAAAAAGAATCATCCAAACCTACTTTGGCACACAAGCACGTCTTCAACATGTTATATTGATAAATAAGCACTTCCAGACTATAATGTTAGCTATGGGACAGCTTTGTTGAACGAGAAGGTGTTGCTATAGTTGAAAACCTCACAGCCAAACTTGTGCTATGGGCCACTGATCTTAACGTTTCGTCCTTTAACGGTACCTTCAACATACATATAGCATTTACTTGCATATGATATTACATTTACAAAAAAACATGACCGACTTCAGCTTCATTTCCTTTTAGGCCTTCCACTTTTCACTAAGGTCAGTATTACTATTTTCATCAATGCTGGAATAGTTGCAGTAGCAGATTACAGAGAATGGTTTCAACAACTCACTCCTAATTCTAAACTCTTTCAACCAACATAAAAATGTTTGACGAATATTTATATTCCCTACCTAATTATGTCCTTCATTTCCTACAGGGTGAAAGCAATTGAAAAACAACTTGAGAAACTAATAGAGAATAAACCATTTGTTGCAGTCACACTGTCACTGCCAAAAGTTTCGCCTCCAGCTCAAAACAAGTTCATATCAAATGCCGATTTGCTAGGAGTCTGCCCGGGGTTATCTTCTAAATATATCTTCCAATGTATACGGCGTAGATAGAATCTCTATCATATTTCAGCATTATGAAAACACCCTAACAATTTCTCACATACTAATTTTATCATCCAAATACACATACATGTCTTGGTACAGAAAAAATTTTATTGCGTAAAAGCCCATCGGAGAATTGATTCGAATAACAAGAGATTTTTGTACATGTCATGCAGCAATTGCAAAAAGACATCCAATGCAGACTTGAGATAGGTCACAAATGCCGCTTCTGCTTCTGCAAGTATGAATATGCAAAAGCTATGTCAAGGTTATCTACACTTCTAAATATAGATTCCAGTGTTCACTAAAATCAATAGCTCGTTCTAACAAACAACATCATCTAATATCATCAACTTCCCTCTATAGATCAAATGCTTTCATTCGCCTTGAAGACAAGTTTGGAGGATTAGAAGCGAGCATAATAGGAGAAGCAATAGAGACACTATTGAAAGGTAACGCCATCAACATAATGAATCATTTTGTAAAGGTAAAACCATACTCCTACTATCATGTAACAATTTCTTCATGAATACACCAACATATAAGACATAACTACATTTTCCATATTGCAGAATCCCAATGAAAATCTAAACAAAGTGATAACAATAGAATTTGAAGAAGATATGCTCTTCTACCTCTAAGTCACACAAAAACGACAAAATCCATCGGGATACCATTATAAAATCATCTCCGTCTTCGATTCCTTGATAACAATTGACCTCGACTCTTCAACTCTAGCAGAAGCCATCAACATTTCAACCCAGATAACCAACAAACAGTTCACACGACAAAAAAGGAAAAATTAAAAAATGTAATCAATGGCTGCTTTGGTATTCTTCTTTGGCTCTATTTCAATGGCTGCCTTCGTTTTCATCTTTGCCACCAATGAAGAAACCAAAATCATTGCCTTTAAACAAAATAAGGACCAAAAGAATTCTATCGTCTTTTGTAATAGTAGACAGTAGTACACACCCTCTCTAGTATTACTATCAAAAACAAAAACCAAATTTCCAAGTATGTAGTTGTAGACATAAAAAAAAAAAAAAAAAAAAAAAGGATTGGGTCGGTTTAAATCATTAGCCCAATTAAACTGAAGTCTACTAAAGTCCATAAAACCCAAAAGCTCATGTCACATTTTAAAAAAAAAAATAAATAAAATCATAATTACTCAATTATTTATTTTAATTAAATATAATTGAGTATTACCAAAATTAGAACGAAATTTTTCCTATAAATAGTTCCAATGATCCATAAGGGGAAGAGGGGGAAGAAAAGCAAGAAGAAGTGCAAGTATAGAAGACAATCACAAAGTGTCAAAAAAATTCCAAAGTCGAAGGAAGAAAAGAAATCTTCTCAAACCCAAATTCGGTGAACTCCAAAAAGATCAAAATCTTCTTGGAACCAAACATGTTCACACCAAGTTTAAGAAGATCAAAGTCTTCTTGACATCAGATCACCCAAGTTCAAGTTCAAGTCCAAAAATCCAAGTGCCGAACAAGTCAAGTATCAACAAATCAAATTTTTAGCAAATTCTCGAAGACCAAGATTTAAGTTATGTAGTCCCTCGTCTTCAAATATTCAGATCATGAATCAAAGGATTTTTACAATTTTGCAAGTACAAGAAGATCAACATCACTTATATTTTACCAAATTACAAGTTGTAACAATTTTTGTATTTTAATACATGAAATTTGTCGTACAAATTTCTTGGCACGCTCGATGGAACCTTCTTGTCCTCTCATATTTTGATCTCAGAATCTTCAAATTTCAATCACTATATCAGCAATAGCAAGCGAAAAAGCGAAACAAACTATGACTCATCTTGAAAAAACACTTGTCAAACTCTTCCATGCGGCCAGGGCCCATACAAAAACTGGAAAAACTTAACTGGTCCCACCACTGAAGAAATTTTCTGACAAAGGCAAAATGAAAATTACCTTCAAAAAGCTAAAACTCTCATTCGATAGAAAAGACCAAGAATTCGGTGAAAAGCTCTCATTCTTGCTCCATCTCCAGTGGTAGATCCTTGTTTGGATCTTCTTATGCCACTTTACAGCAAAGGTGGAGAGATGATACTTCATCTTAAGAATCACTTAAGCCAATGATGGTCAAAGAAACGACATTGGGCACAGATGACCGAATTCAACAAATGGCTTTAGCCATTGAAAATTAACAAAGTCATTAGAAGACAAAGATGCACAGAATGTTGCACTTATGCACAAGCGAGATTGGCAAAATCCATCGTTTAAGAAAGATCAGGAAAATTCAGGGTCTTTCAAGGTCAAAGATCTAGAAGTCCAAGAGCGCCAATAGAAGCAAGATATACATTATCGGACAGTTGTTCAACATGTGTTGCGTAACACCACTCAATTCTCTGTTGGCTCTCTATCCATCCAACAACTTCAACATATGATTGCAGACACCATCAATACCCAATATGGTGGTTCATTGCGATCTTCATTAGTGTATGCCAAGCCCTATAATCGTTGAATCGAAGAAACGAAGATGCCACTTGGTTACCAAACGACAAAATTTCAATGTTTTGACAAAAAAGGTAACCAAAGCAACATGTTACTTATTTCATTGAGACGTGTAACAATGCAGGCACTTATAATGACACCATGGTGAAGTAGTTCGTACGCTCCCTCAAAGGTACCGTGTTTGAATGGTATATGAATTTCCCAGCTGGGTCAATTAATAGTTGTGATCAACTTGATTGAGAGTTCCTAACAAGCTTCTGCGGCACTCGACGAACTATCATTTGTCCAGAACTTGGTTGAACAAAGTAGAGCAAGAAAGAGCCTGCTCTGGAGTACATTGAACGTTGGAGGAACCTCATACTTAATTGCAAAGAATGAATAAGCAAAACATCTTCCATCGACATGTGTGTACAAGACATGCATTGGGGATTACTCTATAATCTCCAGGCAAATATGCCCCATTCATTTGAAGAACTGGCGACACGTGCTCACAACCTGGAGCTCCAAATCGCAAAGCATTGGAGTTACTTAAGAAATGATCTATGTGACGAAAAAGATCCTAGAAACAAATAAAGATGTATGTCAAGGCAAGTAAATCCAAAGAAGCTATGACAATTTCTACTGTTCCTGCAAAGATAGCCTTCCAGGGGTCGAGGTCGAATCCAAAGCCAAAGCTGGAGTTCAGATCTAACAAAGGACAAGTTCAAAGCAGAGGTCACGCAACTCTGAAAGAACTTGAAGGAAATGAGTACCCATTCTAATATTCTGAATTTTCTAAAATTCTAGATCAGCTCCTTAAACAGAGAATAATCTAACTTCTAGTACCAAAAAGACCCGAGAAAGTTGGTAAGATCGATCATCCTAAATACTGTAAGTTTCACAGAATCATTAGTCACTCAATGGAAAGATGCTTCGTCTTGAAAGATCTTATTGTTCGCCTGGACAAAGAAAATAAGATCAAACTTGAAACTGGAGAAAACCCAACAGTTGCTTGCTCGATGGTTTCATTTGAATCATTTGATCCAATTTCCATTGCAGGGAAAAAATAAACATTTTCTCATATACACAATGCCTGTAAATCCTCGGTTGAGGAGTTTGGACCTCAGCTTTCAAAATGAGCTATCCTAGTGGAGTTTGAGGTAGACGGAGAAATCACTATCAGTTATGTCTATCCAGGGATGGATGGACCAAGCGCACCCAATCGTTAACCTTTTATGAAATTATGACATGTGATTTGGATGTTTGGGATTTTGATTTAGAGTTCGAAGATGAGATAGGTAATGGCTAGACCACTTTCATAAGCAAGCAAGGTACCAAATTCTAAACAAAATGGTAATATATTACCTTCTACGCCTCTTGTTCCACAGCGCTAGAGAAATTGGGTACAAAAATTCAACCCAATAAAGAGGAAACACTAGGAGAAGATCAGAGGGCATGGACCCTTATGAAAAGACATCATCGAAAGGCTCCACAACTCCCAAATTCTAATGCTTATGATAAGAATTCAAGACCAAGGAATTTCTTTAGCACTTTATGATAGTGTTCTTTGCTTTCTTTGTTTTGCCGGCTTTCTTTTTCTTCCTAGGTTGTTCCTTGGTCTTGAATTCTTGTCATAAGCATTAGAACTTGGAAGTTGTGGAGCCTTTCGATGACGTCTTTTCACAATGGTCCATACCCCCTGATCTTCTCCTACTGTTACCTCTTTATTCGGTTGAATTTTCGTACCCAATTCATCTAGCTCTATTCCTGCAAGAGGCGTAGAAGGTAATATTTTACTTATTTTGTTTGGCATTTGGTATTTCTCTTTCTTGCTTATGAAAGTGGACCAGCCATCACCAATCTCATCTTCGAACTCTAAATCAAAATCTCAAACATCCAAATCACCTATCATAATTTCATAAAAGGTTGAATGATTGGGTGCGCTCAGTCTACCTCAAACTCTACTGGGATAGCTCATTCTAGAAGTTAGGGTCCAAACTCCTCGACCGAGGATTTACAGGCATTGTGTACATGAGAAAATGTTTGTTTTTTTCCCTATGGTGGGAATTGGATCAAATGATCCAAATGAAACCACCAAGCAGGCGACTGTTGGATTTTCTCCTGTTTCAAGTTTGATCTTATTTTTTTGTCCAGGCGAACAATAAGATCTTTTAGATGAAGCATCTTTCCACTAAATGGCTAATGATTCTTTGAAATTTACAGTATTTAAGATGATCGATCTTCCCAACTTTCTCAGGTCTTTTTGTACTAGAAGTTAGATTATCTTCTGTTCAAGGAGCTAATCTAGAATTTCAGAAACTTCAGAATATGAGAATGGGTACTCATTTCCTTAAAGTTCTCTCAGAGTCACATGACCTCTGCTTTAGACTTGTTCTTTGTTGGACCTAAACTTTGGCTTCGGCTTTGGGTTCGAGCTCCACCCCGGGAAGGCTATCTTTGCAGAATAGTAGAAATTGTCATAGCTTCTTTGGATTTACTTGCCTTGACGTACTACTTTATTTCTTTCTTAGGATTTTTTTTGTCATATGGATCACTTGGTAAGTAACTCCCATACCTTGCAATTTGGAGCTCCAGGTCGTGAGCACCTGTCGCCAGTTGTTTGAATGAGTGAAGCATATTTACTTGGAGATTATAGAGTAATCCCCAATGCATGCTTTGTACACACATATCGATGGAAGATGTTTCGCTTATTCGTTCTTTGCAATTAAGCACGAGGTTCCTCCAACGTTCAATGTACTCCAAAACAGGCTCTTCCTTGCTCTATTTTGTTCGAGCAAGTTCTGAAAAGCTGATAGTTCGTTGGGTACTGTAGAAGTGTGATAGGAACTCTCGCTTGAGTTGATCACAATTATTAATTGACCCAAATGGTAAATTCGTGTGCCATTCAAATGTGGCACCTTTGAGGGAGCGTATGAATTGCTTCACCATGGTGTCATTATAATTGCCTGCATTGTACACGTCTCAATGAAATGAGCAACATGTTGCTTTGGTTGCCATTTCCATCAAAACATTGAAATTTCGTCGGTTGGTAACCGAGTAGCATCTTCATTTCTTTGATTCAACAACTATAGGGCTTGGCATACACTAATAAAGATTGCAATGAACGACCATATTGGGTACGAATGGTGTCTACAATCATATGTTGAAATTGTTGGACGGATAGAGAGCCAACAGAGAGTTGAACGGTGTTACGCAACATGTTATGAACAACTGTCCGATCATGTATATCTTGCATATATTGGCACTCTTGGACATCTAGATCTTCGACCTCGAAAGACCCTGAATTTTCCTGGTCTTCTTTAACTGGTTGCTTTTGCCAATCTAGCCTGTGCATGAGTGCAACAATCTGTGTATCTTTGTCTTTTAGTGACCTTGTTAATTTTTTAATGTTTTAAGCCATTGTTGAATTCAGTCATCTACGCCCGATGCCACTTCTGTGACCATAATTGGCTCAAGTGGCATAAGAGAAACTAGACAAAGATCTATCGCTGGAGATGGAGCACGAACGCGAGCTTTTCGCCGAACTCATGGTCTTTTCTATTAAATGAAAGTTTTAGCTTTTTGAAGGCAATTTTCATTTTACCTTTATTGGAGAATTTCTTCAGTGGTGGGACCAGTTGAGTTTTCCCAATTTTTGTTTAGGCCCTGGCCACATGAAAGAGTTTAACAAGTGTCTCTTCAAGATGGGTCATAGTTTGTTTCGCCTTTTTGCCTGCTATCGCTGATATAGTGATTGAAACTTGAAGATTCTGAGATCAAAATATGAGAGGACAAGAAAGTTCCACGGGCGTGACAAATTTGTATGACGAATTTTGTGTATTAAAATACAAAAATTGTTTCAAATTGTATTTTGATAAAATACATGTGATGTTGACCTTCTTGTAATTGCAAAATTGTAAAAATCCTCTGATTAATTATTTGAATATTTGAAAATAGGGGGCCATTGGCTTGAATCCTGGTCTTCGAGAATTTGTTAAAAATTTGATTTGTTGAAACTTTACCTGTTCGACACTTGGATTTTGAGACTGGAACTTGAACTTGGGTGATTTGACGTAAAGAAGATTTTGATCTTCTTGAACTTGGTGTGAACCTCTTTGGTTCCAAGAAGATTTTGATCTTCTTGGGGCTCATCAAATTTGGGGTTGAGAGGATTTCTTTTCTTCCTTTGACTTTCAAAATTTTTCGACACTTTGTGATTGCCTTCTATGCTTTCACTTTTTCTTGCTTTTCTTCTCCCTCCTCTCCTTATGTTTAATTAAAATGTAGGGGAATTTCAGTGCTAATTTTAGTAATACTCAATTATATTTAATTAAAATGAATAACTGAGTATTTGTGATTTTATTTATTTATTTAAAATGTGATATGGACTTTTTGGTCTTATAGACTTTAGTAGACTTCAATTTAATTAGGCAAATGATTTAAATCGACCAAATCCATTTTCTTTAGTTTTTTTTATGTATACAAATGTCCCCTCAATATTATTTTATTTATTATGAAATAAATAAATTAATAAATCTTGATTTTTTTTTTTTTGGGATTTAATTTGAACTCAAACTTCCCATTAGTAAATTAATATGGATGGAACATGTAAATTAATACGGATTGAACATTTGAGAACAAAATGTGAATTTGATAAAATTCTTCACCTTCAATTTTGAGAATAAGAATTTCTTTTTGTAGAATTTTGATTATTTATTTATTCATTTATTTTATATGATCCATAACAAATTTGATTTAAACAGGTTTTTTATGTTTGGTAAATTGGGCTTGAGTTAAAGTCCAATATCTGCCTATTTATATGAATGAATTATGAGATTTGGAAATAAGATTGTTGAATCTAGCAAACAGACATAAGGAATATTTTTTATCCCCCTCTCTCTCACTTTTTTTTTTGCTCCTTCACTTGGTTTTAGCGTAGAACCTTTATTGAACAAAGGCCAAAAGAAAATTACCGTCAAAAAGCCAAACTCTAATTCGACATAAAAGACCATGAGTTCGGCAAAAAGCTCGCGTTCAGGCTCCATCTCCCGTGGTAGATCCTTGTCTAGATCCCCTCATGCCACTTCTCAGCAAAGGCGAGGAGATGATGCTTCATTTGAAAAATCACTTAAGCCAGTGTGGTCATAGAAGCACTTCGTCTCGCCTTCTATGCTTTCACTTCTTCTTGCTTTCTTCTCCCTCCCTTATGGACCCTTGGTCCTATTTTAGGGGAGAATTCGTGTTAGTTTATGTAATTACTCAATAATTGAGTAATTATGATTTTATTTATTTAAAAAGTGAAATGGGCATTTGGATTTTATGAACTTTAGTATTTTATGAACTTTAGTAGGCTTCAATTTAATTGGGCTAATGATTTAAATTGACTCAATTCATTTTCTTTATTATTTATTTATTTATTTTATGTCTACAAACGCCACGTCAAGATTTATTTATTTATTATGAAATTAATTAATTAATAAATCTTGATTCTCGATTTTCTTTGATTTTTTTTTTCAATTTAGGATTTGATTTGAACTCAAACATCCCATACATATGAAAAATCTGAGAATGAAGTTAAATGTGGAAGGTCTAAAGCCAAATCAAGAGAATTCATTAAATCCATGGGGGTAGAAGTTGCTTCACGCGTTCCTCTCGGATTACCAACCTTGGGTGATTATTTTCCCAAGAGTTTCTTTGACAAGGAATTTTTTCCCTCTAATGTTATCAATGTAGAAAGGAAAAATGAGATGAATAATACATTATGACAGAGTTCAAAATAGAAGAATACTATCTAACGACTCAACAATATTCCAGCCAACACGAGTTTAGCAGAGTCTTTTTGACATGACCCATCCCAAGTCAACCTAATTGACTTGACATGTGTCATGCACCGATGTAGATACTAGCTAAATGCTGAACCATAAAAATTTTGACAAAGTTTTCCTTGAAATAAGGATTAAACCAACCTGAAAATCAACAAAACCTCATATAGACATTTAAACACCAAAGATTTTAGGAACCACTAATTCCACCAATACCACTACAACAAAAACAAAATACAACTAAATTCTATTGAGAACTTCTACTACAAAACATCATGTCTATTTGCAAGCATTACATCAATTATAAACCCTTCTACGAAGTGAACATCAAACAAAATATTAGACAAAATGTTTAGTAAACATGAGTATCCGGCTATACATTACATACTATGAAACGGTCTCTTGACTTCAGCAGGCTTTCCCAAGTATCTCAAATTCAGCGGTCTCCTAATAGGAAAAACATGACAAAATATATGAGCTTGTATCCCAGTGAGTAGATAGTTTGCAAATAAGTATACTTTTCCCATTTATGCATATTTTCTAAAAATTCTAACTTTATTAAATCTTTGAGAAATTCTAAATCTAGTAACACTTTTAAAACTAAGCCTGATTATATTATAAAATTCTTCGTTCTCAATTCTAGATAAGTAACTACAAAGTATAACGAATATAAAGAATCTGATATTAATGAAAATCTATAAAATATTGTTATTGCTCAATATTATAAGCTGGAAAATTTACTCTGAGAATTGAAGAAACTGAACTCTATATTCTGAAATCTGATAAGTTGTAAAAATACTGAAAAGTCACGCCAAAAAGATATCCAATGAATAGTGTTACTAATGTACATAGTAATCTCTATGTACAAGGCAAAGCCATTCACATATGGTAATATAATAATCTGGTCATACGTATACAGAGCTGCCCCGAAGGCTAATTACCCTAGTACACGGTCCAAAGCCTATGTGTGTACGAGAGTGGGTCCCAAAGACCTCTGATAATCTAATCATATACATGGAAATACATTCACAATAGTGCAGAGCGAGTAAAATCACCATAACTGATCATACACTATGGAAACACATTCACATCAGTGTAGAGTAGGTAAAATAACCATATGTAGTACATTCACACCAGTAGCGACTAAGGTAAAATCACCTGGGTACTTTCTGGTGGTTTTAAAAATAACTTTAATAATGTTGAAACATTTAATATTCATATAAGTTGCTAATCAAATGATTTAACTAAACTGAATTTAACTTTAAAAGAAATTATAAAATCCACGTTATTCTAAAAATCATGTTGTCAAATCAACTATATGAATTAATAAGTTTGTATCCACTCACAAAATACGAGCTACAAGCTAGAATGCCTGATAAATGTTTCCAATCTCCTCATCCCCACCTAAAATACGATATTAATAACTAATTTATCCACTATCAAATCAAGAAACCTTAATATCTAATGATAATACTTAAATTAAATTTCTTGATACTTGAATAAATTCTCAAATTTTCCTTTGTTAATTGGAGCTAATCACACATTATGATCCCTTGACTAATAACTAATTCATCGACATGACCTTCATTCCAAGCATTAATGTAACTACCAACTTCATTCTAGTGACAACTTGTCACTATGCATCGACCAATTATATTTTCCTCTTGTTTCATAAATTCATACTTCTAAATAATTATTTCCTCATCACCATCATTTCCACGAACACTACTTAATCCAAAAATCCCCAAAAAAAAAAAAATAATAATAATAAACAAATAAATCTAGGGTTGGCTAAAAATATTATTTCGTACCTTGCTGAAATTGGAAATTAAGGAATCCCAAGCTTGATCTCCAATTCGTACTTATCTCACCTAAATTGAAATTTTTTACTACGAGTTAAAACCCTGGAAATTTAATATAAATCATACATTTATCACTTGGAACAAATGGATAAATTAAATTCGAACTTGAATAGATTAACCCTTACCTCTCTTCTTCTTTCCTTTTTCTTCCTTTCTTTCTTCTTTTTTTCTTTTTCCTTTCTCTTTCTCGGCCTTACGGCTTCTCTGTGTTTCTAGTCTCTGTGTGTAGGAGGGGGGGGGGGTTTGAGAGAAAAATAATGGTCAAAGGTATATAAAAGCCCACTAACTCCAGTTTGCAAGAAAAGTCCCTCTTCTACAATAGAATATAACATTTAAATCCTAAACTTCTAAAAATATATAAGTAAATTCCCAACTTTAAATTATATCCAATTTAACCCTCATATATTACCAATTATAAAATAAACCCCAATAAAATATTTAATTTCATTTAAGTCCTTAATCAACTTTGACATTGACTAGTTACTTTTTTATTTTTGACTAAGAAAAATTGAGTTGTAACACTTTTAGCCTTCCTTTCGACAATCTAATGTCTTTGGTCGCAACATTAATCGATCTTGAAGAAATGCCAATTTCACCATTGACAATCATAAAGGTGTTGGTTTGTAACGCCCTGAATTTTATCGACTTAAATATTGTGGTGTTACCAATATCATATCATAAACATTCTTAAAGCGGAAATATTTAATTTGAAATTTAAAACCTCTAATTTATTTGAAAATAAAATGACGGTGTCATAGAATTTAAAGCATTAAATGGAATTAAAGAAAAACAAAAAAAAAAAATCCTAACAAAATTATTCTTAAATATTTTCTTGAAAATATTCTTTACTTGGCAACCCACGCACCGCTCAACCACCACCGTCAACCGATCTAACCTGAGATGTTAAAATTGAAGGAGTGAGTAATTTATACTCAATAGGATACTTCCGTCCAAATAATCTAATAACTTTTGAAATATAAATTCATAACATTCCATACCATCATTTCGTCGAGAGCAATTGGTGATCAATCGAATGCTCTAACACATTTGAGAAGACCCGAAGGCGACCTCACATTTCATTTCATTGGGACCCGCAAGTCAATTAGCATTTCATGAAATAAATCATGTCAAAAATTATAATATTACAAGAACAATCAACTTGCACAAAGTATCCTACCTTGATTGATAAAAAGAATAATTGTTCGAAGGAAAGTCAGAATTCACGTTTCCAAAAACTTTTCCGTTGTTGCCGTGTCTACATGCTAAGAAAATTGTCGAAACGTATTATAAAATAAATCATGAGTTAACTAATGATTTCCAAGTGAAAAAGAAAAAAAATGACTTTGGATACCTTCCGGATTAAAGTTGATTCCTAATGTGCACCAAATCCCAACTTGCAAAAGTTGTATATATAAAAATGGGAAAAGTCCTTATTTTAAATCTAATGCATCTAATTAGGTATAAATGGTGTTAATTAGTGTTAAAAAAAAACCCCCCTTTTTTGTTTGTTAATATACTATTAACTTATTTAAAATCCTTAAATTAGCCCCACTAATTAAAATATCATAATGCTATCAAATGTTATTATTATAGTAGGGTAGACAAAATTTCTAATATAGAGGCAAAATCTGTTCCATCAAAATAAAATGAAAAAGATCTCCCAATCAATGGGGACACCAATACAGCCATTTTCCTAAATTTTATATTGCAAAAATAACACATGCGTAATCCAATCCCCCAATTTTCTACAATTACTTCATTAACCGTGATATTTATTATAGGAGGGTAGAATGAGATTCTAGCACCAAGGCAAGATTTGCTCCTTCAAAATACATGTGAATGATCTTCCAAAAGAAAAATGGACATTCATACAGCTAAATTCCCTAGATTTCTATACTGTACACGTAATCAAATCCTTAAATTTGCTAAAACAATTATCTAACTTCTTATAAAAAGGGGAGCAAGGTGTTACTATAGATGGAACAGTAAATTAATCCGAAAATATTGTACGAAGAAAATAGCGTCATTTTTTGTACCTTTTTTTTTTATTGTTTTTGGCTAATACCATACCATTTTCATTTTTTCACTCCTACGACCATTCCTGTGCTATTCTTCTAACTTGATGGAGGCAAAAGAAAACCATCGAGAAAATCAAACAACGACTACACCGCCTTTTCTTCATCCTTCTGTGATTTGGGTTGGCACTCTTTCATGTGGGCACTCCTTTTGTAATTTACTGCTTCCAGAAGCATCTTGAATTATTGTTTCTAGAATTGTTCACTACTTCTATTGCTTTTATGGTGGCTTGACTGTGCATTCACAAGTGGTAAATGATTCTGTTCTCCATTCATTTATTTATTTCATGTCCTTTTTTTTTATATAAAAAATTGCTCATTGAGATAAAGGTTTTGGATATCATCTTGTTATTGTAGTTATAAATTGTTGATTGGAGTATTAGTTGCAAAGAAATTTAGGAAGCCTTCTTTTACTAGAAACTTTAAGTTGTGGCTTTATGACAAAATTTCACGTTGTCATCTCTCATCTCTTGGTGTCTTAAATGGGGTTGTAGGAGAGAAGAAAAATAAATGACGTAAAGAAGTAGGGAAAAATAGATATCGCGTAAACATATAAAGAAAAGTAGGGAAAGCAAAGAGGAAAAAAATTACTAATAAAAAAAAAAAGAAAATCTGTCCGCACTGCGCAAAAAGATCAACTCTCTTCGCACTGTGCGGAGAGATTTTTTTTCTCTCTGCACTGTGCGGAAAGTTTTTTCATGGTGCGAAGAGTTGTCAATTGCCATCTCTCTGCACTATATGCTTTTTGTGATTGTATGCGGAGAGTGTTTTTTTTATTTTTTTCAATCGATCTCATTACTTGATAAATGCATTTCCATTTTTTTATATACAATTATGTTTAATTTATTTATATAAAATTCTTTAAAAATAATAATTATTAAGCTAATAAAAAATATACCAAAAAAGTATACCAATCAAATTTCTCAAAAAATTAGTAACAAAAAAAAAAAGCATTTACCTATTTTTAATTTTGTCTAATTTACTAATTTAATAATTTCAATGAAAAAAATTACACGTGCTGTGTGGAATCTTTGCACAATTTGTGCAGAGACTCCATATTGTGCGGATTTCGCACTTGTGTGGGGACTTCGCACAAATCACACAAGTGAGGACTCCCTCTTTTTTTTTTTTGGTTGAATCATTCAATTAATATTTGTTTACTTTATTATTTTATTAGTTAAAAATATGCATTAAATCTAATAAAAAAATATAACTACAAGAATAAGTTTAAAAAAAAAAAAAAAAAACAAACAAACTCTCCCCCATAAGTGCAGATACTTCGCAAATTTTTTGTGTAGAGTCTCCCCATGTCGAGAGTAATGTGTGGACACTCCGCACTCCATCCGCACAATGAGTGTGGACACTCCGCACAGTCCGCATAGATTGTATGGAGTGTCCGCACAATGTGCTGTGTGGACAAAGTGCGCATACTCCGCACAAATTATAGTATTTTTTTTTTTAGCTTTTTTTTTTCTTTTATCAATTTTTTTTTAAGTAGAAACATGAGATTTTGGGTAGAATCTATTAAGTCATCATTGAATCCTAAAAGTTAGATTTCTCTTTGATTTCCTAATTCTATGAAGTTTTTAAATTAAGTTGTTTATGAATGCCTTTCAGTGATATAGATTCTCTGTAAGTTAGAAAACCATAGGAGAAAAAAACTCTTCTGCATAGTTGGAGGGTTCAAGCGAACTCTCCGCACTGTCCATAGAGTTTCTTCCAACCCTCTGCATAGTGCGGAGAGTTCACATGAACTCTCCGAACTGTGCGAAGGGTTGGAAGAAACTCTCCGGACTGTGCAGAGGGTTGGAAAAAGCCCTCCACACAGTGTGGAGAGTTGTAGACTTGAACTCCAGACAGTTCGAAGAGTGAATTTGGAAGACAAATGGGGGGAAGTTATGGTGCGGTCTTATGTAAGGAAAAAGGGTCATATGAACATGACGTGCTATGTTTATGATGTGAAAGGAAACAACAAGCAATATCATTCCACGCCACCTATTACATTGGATGTAAGTACCTTAAAATTGATATTAATAAATTTCTGACAACTAAAATTTTCCTATTTTGTATTTTAAAACTTATTTGATGCAACATTGAAGGAAGTGAATTCTCAACCAACAAGAGTACAAAGCGCAAGTATAAGTTCACAGCTTCAAGTACATGATTGAATATCTATTATGTTATTACTTTTTTTTCATACTTGTTGTTCAACGTTGTAGGGGAAGTTTTATGCAAGAAGAGGGGATCATCCATCGACTAGTTGGCACCAGCTGCAGACCATTTGGAGAAAAAATGACGAACCACGAGTAGAAATGTCGGAGGAAATGCTGGATAGTTTTCAAGAGATAGAAGCTGTTGCATTTTCGCAACTAAGGATATCTAGAGTTCATTCTAGGCTACATGTGAAGATGGCTTCGCCGAAGCTAAAATCTGGATGTAGCTTACATGCAAACAAAGGAGGATATTACTTGTAGCTTCTTTATTTTGAAATGAATGAATGTACATTTATGTAGCACATTTATGTTACGTATAGAACAAGTACTTTATAAGTTTTGGGTAAGCTTATATCACTTTTTGTGTAATGACATATTAGCAAGACTAATATATTTACCATCTTGCGAAGATAAGTTTTTATTAAGTTTAATTCATTTGCTTGACGTACATATGCTAAAAGTCTTGCAAAAATCCATTAATATGATCCACAATTTTACCCAACAACAATGTGATTTGCTACAATTTTATTCAATTATATAGACACATACACTGCTTCGATTACATCTTCCAAGACTTCGTTCTAAGATTACAATAACCAAATTCGAAGGAATAACCTACTAACAAAAATGGCACTAAAAGCGATCTTGTACATTTTCATAGAAAATTTTGTGGTTTTCTTCTTTAAGTCTATTTTTCAATCGTATCAACCCATTTACTACTATCTTGTACCCGTCATTCGGTGCCGTGTTGGTCCAATCAAAGAAATTGCAAGCCTTACACATTCCATAGGATCGGTTCTCTATCCATGAAGTCTTCACATGTCCCAAATGCCCACAATAATGATAGTACAAGAATGAATAACTAAGAAGGGGTGAATTGGTTTTTGAAACTTTTTCGAAAATTAATCTTTTATCATGCAAGTTAAGAACAAAGAGATCAATCAAATAGTAAGCATAAATAAAATAACGATAAATAAAGAGGAGAGTGTACAAACGATATAATTATGAAGTTTCGATCCAAACCAATAATCTACGTTTTTTGTCACTATATTGATTGACTTATGGTGCAATCAAAACCCTTACAACTCTTTCAATGACTTACAAAAAGGAGCATCAATTCTTATATAATATTGAGCTTTAAGGCCTTTTACAATGAAGTTTCGAATGGAAGATGCATTATTGACACACAAAAGACTTTTGCAATCACCAGGTTAAAATATAGATTTATTGTGTTGTGTTTAAGTTTTTTTAAAATAATCATAATAAATCTTCCTATTATGCTAATAAAGTTACAATAATTTTTTTTTTTTTTTACAAATGGCATAAAAAAATCAATTTTATCTTCAACCAAAAAATACATTTAAAAATTAGCAATTTCATAACCACCTATTTTTTAAATTCTCGAAAATAAAATTATGAAAAAGAAAATAATATTGAATTACAAATATCAATATCTACCGTATTAAAGACAATATGTGCAGTAAATATGGTATGATGTAAATTCGGTATGCTGTAAATACGGTATAATACAAATACAATATGCTACATATACGGTATGTTGTAAATACGATATGTTGCAAATACAATATGCTGCAACTATGGTAAGTTATAAATACTGATTACTGCAAATACGGTAAGCTGTAAATACGGTTGGCACTATTTGTAGCCTACTTACCGTATTTGCAGGCAACTTACTGTATTTACAGATTACCGTATATGTTGCCTAACATATTTGCAGCTTACCGTATAAATGCTACCTACCATTTTTCCAACTTACCATATATATCGATTTTTGTACTTACAAATACTGAGAATGCAAAACACCGTACATTCACTTACCAAACAGAATGTCAAAAAAAATTTCAAATGTTTATTTTTTCGACATAAGCATAAAATAAATATTTAAATATATGAAACACAAAATATAAACGCATATGAATATGCAAGTCGATTTATAATTTTGTGCTCAATCTTCAATTTTCCAATATTGAATTAGAAATATAATATTCACATTCAACTCAATCATATCGACACTATCAAAGAATACAGGGAAAATAGTTTGTATATTTCATATTCAATTGTAAAAATAATTTGCAATTATTTTCTTATATCATGGAAATATTTCTAGATATTACTTCAAAAACTTTCCAAAAAACTAAAATTTATGCTCTAATAAAAATATGATAAATACAAAATTTGTGCAACGCACGTGATAGTGACTAGTGGTTAAGATAAAAGGCATAATTACAAAAGGCACTATTTGACAATTGATAAATTTTCTTCATATATAAAAATCATTATAATCACTAAAGTCAATATAATAATTTAATTTAGATGCGATAGAAACAATAATTTTAGTAACAATGCAATTAATTTTAAGACTTGACAAGCATGCATGGGGCATGTGATATTGTGGAACATCTTTTGACCACCCGTCGCATTAAACATAATTAATTCCAAACTTAAATGAAACCGTGAACATATTGGAATTAAGTTTATTCTATAAAATTTTCGGGGTGCTACATGGTCTCTGGACACTAAACCTCACAAAGAGTCTGTAGATAGAGTTTGGGCAATTGTAATCTTTTGTAGCAGAACCGACTACAAAAGCTAACTCACAAAGATTCCTCTTGAGTACAAATTTTTGGACCCATAAGGACTATTCCCAAAATTTGGAAGAAAAGAAATCTCCCATCGACTGGCCAATGCACTTTCGCATCATATTTCTTTAATGTCAAACCTCTCACAAATTTCAGCCTTTGGGATGCACTCCATGCTCTGCGGAAGTGGTTGCACTTGCCAATATCCAAACTTTCGTGACATTCACTAATGGTAGGCATATACAACTCCAACAATGGCTCAGGAGGTCAGGAGAAGGATCATTCGTTGGCAAGTCTAGGCATGGTACTTCAAATTGGTATCTTTGAAACGCAAATAACTTTTGCCTTAATTTTTAAGCTCAATAATTTCGTGTATGTTAGAGTATACTTTATCATTGGAACTTATTCCTATCATGCAAAAGAAAAAAGAAAGCAAATAAAAAGGGGTAGTAAATCTCTTAAATTCATTATCATCTAAAATTACGAGCCTTCCAAATATGTAAATGTCCCAAACACAAAGTGCCTTGGACAGTCGAAGGAGCCAGCCCTTGGTCCTAAATACAAAGTGCCTTGGACGGTCCTCAACACAAAGTCCCTCGGACGGTTGAAGAAGCAAGTCCTTAGTACTCAACACAAAATGTCTTGAATGGTCGAAGAAGCTGGTTCTTGGTCCTCAACGCCATGGACAATCGAAGGAGCCAATCCTTGATCCTCAACATAAAGCGCATTGGATGATCGAACGAACAAGTCTTTGTTCCTCAACACAAAATGTCTTGGACAGTCGAAGGAACAGATTCTTAGTCCTAAACAAAAAGTGCATTAGATGGTGAAAAGTGAGAGTCCTTGGTCCTCAATTCATATGAAAAGGTTTGTAATTTTAAGTTTGTTCATAAGCATATATTTTCCAACTTCTAAAGTAGTTGCAGCACAAAAATTTAATTTCCACACACACACACAAAACCCTCAAACCTCAAAATTCTCGGCTTACTTCAAAAGTTGAGTTCTTGAAAAAAAAAATGAAGAATGTTAGTTTCGACTTCAATAAAATACCCACACTAAGAAAAAATAAAACAAAAATCAAAATTCAACCCAAAATAAAAAGACATTCTATAAAAAAAAATGAAGAAGAAAAGAACTAAAAAGAAATAAAAAGAAAGAAATTGAAAAAATAAATAAAGGGGAAAAAGAAGAAAAAAAATTTGGTAGAAACCATGGTTTTTTGGTTTCTGCCCACAATTGTTTGGTTTTACAGAAACCAAGAAAGCTAATTAATAATTAAAAAAAATTTAAAAATAAAAATATACAAAGGAGATAATAATTCCAATTCCTAAACCAATTCCAAATCAATGGTTTCCGCCGCCATTTTTTTTCCGCTGGCTGCAGAAATCGAGAAATATTAAAAAAATAATAAAGGGTCAACGATGAAACCAAGAGAAGGATAAAAAAAATACAAACAAGAGGGAGGGGGGAGGGGAAGGAAAAACATTTATTTACCTCTGTTTGCTAGATTTAACAAACCTGTTTTCAAATCTCATAATTCACTCAAATAAATAGGCGGGTATCAGACTTTACTCAAGCCTAATTTACCAAACATAAGAAGTCTGTTCAAATCAAATTTGTTATGGATCGTATAAACTAAATAAATAAATAATCGAAATTCGACAAAAAAAAAATTATTCTCAAATTTGAAGGATAAGAATTTTATCAAATTCACATTTTCTTTCTGAATGTTCCACCCGTATTAATTTACTAATGGAAAGTTTGAGTTCAAATAAAAAAAATCGAAAATCAAGATTTATTTATTTATTTCATAATAAATAAATAAATCTTGAGGGGACATTTGTTGATATAAAAAAATTTTTAAAAAATGGATTGGATCAATTTAAATCATTTGCCAATTAAATTGAAGCCTACTATAGTCCATAAAACCGAAAAGCCGATATCACATTTTAAATAAATAAATAAAATAATAAATTACTCAATTATTCATTTTAATTAAATATAATTTAGTATTACCAAAATTAGCACGGAAATTCCCCTATAAATAGGACCAATTATCCATAAGGGGAGGAGGGAGAAGAAAATCAAGAAGAAGTGAAAGCATAGAAGACAATTACGAAGTACTGAAAAAATTTCAACGTCGAAGGAAGAGAATAAATCCTCTCAAACCCAAATCTTTTGAACCCTAAGAAAATCAAAATCTTCTTTGAACAAAACAGGTTCACACCAAATTCAAGAAGATCAAAGTTTTCTTTACATCAAATCAAATCCAAGTTCAAGTCCAAGCAATCTAAGTGCTGAATAGGTCAAGTCTCAACAAATCAAATTTTCAAAAAATTATCGAAGACTAGGTTTCAAGCCACGTGACCCCTCGTCTTCAAATATTCAGATCATTTATCAGAAGATTTTTACAATTTTGCAATTACATGAAGGTCAAATCACTTGTATTTTATCAAAATACAATTTGTAACAATTTTTGTATTTTAATACACGAAATTCGTCGTACTGTAGTAACTTAATATTGAGTCTTTAGTTAAGAAACCAGAAAACTTATTGTTTTCAGATGAAAGAGTTGGTTTAATTATTTTGCTATCTTTTGAATTCTGGAAATATGTAAATGCTGTAAGCTATCAAAAAAACTATGTACAGTGACTACCATTAAAATAAGTAACTTCTTCTATATCATGCACCCTTCTATTTATACTAGTTTATTGCCCGTGCCATGCACGAGCTTTGTCATTTCGAAGGTAATTTTAGTGTTTCTAGAAATAGATTTTTTTTCACCTTTTTTTTAGGGGACTTCTTAAATAACATTTTTTATGTACTCGTTTCTACAAAGTTAAGAATTATTCGATACTCAACTTTTTTGGGAAACATCATATAAGTAGGAAATAATTTCGACACAACCTAGTTTTTATTACATGGCAAATGGAACTTAATAACCTTGAAGACTTGCAACAAAAGTTGTAATCTTGGAAAAATTGTCAAGGTAATAAAAGCAATCATCTAAGTGCCACTTTGTCAAATTAATTTCTTCATCCCGCACAAGCTATTTGATAAAATGCTTAGACGAGAAACGAAGAGTTAGCATTTAAAGAATCAAGATTAAGCTCCAAGCAACCAGTGCATGGAACGAGAAACGAAGAGTTAGCATTTAAAGAATCAAGATTAAGCTCCAAGCAACCAGTGCATGGAACACACTTCCTCAATTCTTTTAAGTACTATGTTGATTCAAGTAGGGATCACTTACATTACATCAGAAACTAGTTTGCACAGGGATTGCACACTTTCCCCCTCAACCTTCTTTCTCCTAGCCTCTTCATGCTCCATGATGCCAACAAATGTATCCAAAACTGAAAAGTAAAATGAGCTTAAAACAATTGAAAGAAGATATTTATTGAAGGAAGGAAAGTAAGAAAAATGAAATTTAATTTTGTGGACTTCAGCAATTAGCATTCTCTTGGGATTGGCAGCATACCATTGTACATCTGATGAGGCAGGATAATATTTTTTTTGAAGTCTAATTACTATACAAAGTACAATTTGCTCGACCTACTGGGGAAAAGACGAATGAAATGAGGGTACAACCAAACATAATAATCACATTTTACGATAGGAAGATGTGAAGCTATTTAAGAATGGAGATATCCGATTGACATGCTAATTGAAGATACCTTAATAAAAGTTTGAATAAGAGATAGAGTCTCCTTGATAATACTATTCCATGAAATAAAAGGTGCATGTGCAAAACATATATATTATCATATGGCCAGGTTGATAGCTCAATATTCACCAAGTGATCATCATCCAAATGTTAATGTACAATGTTTTTTTATATATTACCTGCCAGAAGGGAAGCAACCTTGCATTCCATTCCTCAATTTCCTGGATAGCAACGTCAAAGTCAGGGCTGATGACTCTACATTTGTTCAACCACAATTTTACCAGATCAGTGATCATTGATGTACTTAAACTCTCCAATGTATCCTACAGACATGATAAAGAATTAAGTGTATAGATAGAATATTGCATGCGTAAATAGACAACAAATTAACACCACACAATGTTTTGTATACCATGCTTTTGCATCATGAAGAGAAACTTAATAATGACTTTGGAGGATGGTTGAATCATGACCTGACACTTCCCTAGCTTCTCTGCATTGTACATGCTCTTAAGAGCGTTATTGAAGACACTAACTCTCACCATTTCTAGTTAAAGATTTAGGTGGCATCATAATTAAGAATATGGTATTATATATCCTCATTCTGATTAACTTAATTGAGAAATAAATCCTCAATGCCAATGCAATTAAATATTAACAGAATATAAACAAATGCACTAATGATAATTAGCACATAAATATTTGAGTAATTGCCTTGAGGACATCCATAATTATGCCAACGTACACGAATGTCGGAGAACCATGTTTTTCATGTATCTAGATGTTTGTACAGAAGTTTCCTTTAGTTGTGGGTAGAATTTCTCTTTATTCTTTATATTCCCTTTGTGCTTTATGTGTTTGTCCGTGTGAAAATATATCAATGTATCCAAATAAAAACATGCCTATTTGAAGGTATGAAAGATAAATTTCTTACCGACTTCCAATCATCGAGTACTTTCATTCATCATCATCAAGCCAGCTTGAAACTAAGAAAGAGAGATCATGAGTAATTTACAGAATGAATTTGAAAACCCAAAGATGAAAAAGAGTACCCATGTTCAACGAGGGATTTTATCCGACACTTCCCGCCAAGTCTAAGTAACAATGTGTATATGCATAGATTAAGTAGGGAGGATTCTGCATATGTGGATTTGGAGGTGACACTTTATACGCGTGTAAAACAATTTATCAATCCATCTTCCATCATCCTAAAATTCCACAATCTGTAGCACATTACAAATTCTTAGTTTCCTGGTATAGGGGTGAGTTCCAAATCCTATTGAACATGCTATCTATCAACATAATGCGCATTTATATCCTGCATGCTCATTTTAAAATAATAAAGCAAGCCCTTGTTTAAGCCCCATTTTTCTATCATAAGACATTCTTCAATAGTTAATTGAATCTATTTCAACCACATATTTTTTAATAAATAAAATTACATACAAATCCAAAAATTTTCCTTATTTTTTAACAACACATTTTCTATCATAACACTATTTCAAAATGCATTTTTGAAAACAAAGGGGCTCAAACAGCCCCTACGTTTTTTTTTTTTTTGCTTATTTATTTATTTTAATATATTTAACGGCTTTTTCTAGCTTGAATACAAGCATGCTTGCATAAAGATCATGACATCTATTTCCTAGATTTCTTCTTCTGTCTTCTCAATACATGCTCATTCAACTAAGTTGATGAAATCTTTACAAATAATCTATGTTTATGTTTACAGTGACATTTCTTAGTAGCTTGTTACATACAAAATGATTTATTTGATACATCTTTTAGAGCAAAAATTATTGTAAAGTCTTTTATTAAATGCAGAGCTTTTTTATGTAAGTGATGATTAGATGGATGCTGGTTTTACAAATTGGCCAAATTCTGTTTGCTTGGATTTTGAATAGCAAAGTCAATTGCATCCAATCAATTACGCTACCTTCTATTTTTTCAGGGCCATAAACTTTGAACCAAAAACAAATGGTGACTTATACGAATGATAACACAAATAGGAATAAACTTAAAAATCTGTCACCCCAAAAAAAAAAAAAATAAAAAAACCCCCCCAAAAACCCCCCCCCCCCCCCCCCCCCAAAAAAAAAAAAAAAAAAAAAAAAAACCCCTTCTTATTTGAAACCCATAGAATAGAAATCCATAAGAATGACCTCACCAATAATATTAAATTTCACGACCCAAGAACCCGAATAGCAAGAAACCTGACCCAAGATCCCAATCGTCAAAATTTATGTTTGACAATACTTGAGAAGCATCTGAAACGAAGCAAAAAGGTTGGAATCAAATAGAAAAGCAATGAGGTTGAAGAAAGTGGAAGAAAGATACTCAAGAATGAAGTTTTAAGGATTATATTTCAGCCTTTTGAATTTATTTGTACTAAAGTTTTTTAAAAAAAAAAATTATAAACTGGAAGAAAAGTCTAAATTGACATACCTCACAATTTAAAGATATAACTATCAGAATTTGCAGCAAGATGTACAAAGGCCGCCGCAAATGAGCAAATCACAGCAACATGTACAAAAAGCTGCGACAAAATCGCAATAGGATGAAGAGACAACTATAATCGTCGATTGAATTTGCCAAGGGTTTTGTTTCACCTTTTTTTACAATGTACGGTCAAAAAATAAAACAAAAAAGAATCTAATTTAACTACACCTTTTAGAAAATTGTGTTAATGAAATCAAAAATAGAATGAACACTTAAAAACTCAAATCAACATACCTATATTTTCATATTGGGGATCAAACCCTACATAATAACAATTTAATCTTTTGTGAGAAAAGGACTCACCCAACATAGCATCTTCCTTTCAATCTTCTAAAGTTTCTTCTTATTCTTGTCCTCTTGTTTTACACGAATTTATACCTTGGAGGTTAATTACCACCAAAAGAGAAGTTAAATTTTTAAAATATTCAATTCGTAGAAGGAAATGAGCATAGGCAATGGAATTAATAACCAGAAGCAAATGCAGAAAATGAACAATGCAGTCCATACGTTACCTTTTTGTGCAAACTTAGCTTTTGTAACTGACATTGGGATCTTGCCACGAGGCCTTAGAGGAGCTCCATCCATTATTTGGACGGACAGGTCCACTGAAGGTTCCTAATGCCTAGTAAAACAACAATAATATTAATAACAACAACAATAATGACCTCAATCCACAATAACATCATTGAAGACAAAACAATTAAAGATGAAAACCTTCCAACGATACATGTTACTCCAAGCACTTTGAACAGAAGGCATTACCTTCTGATATGTTACAAGTGCATCTCCCTTTTTCCTTTCAATTTCTTTGTCAACGTAAATCTTCACTCGACGCTTTTTTGTTTTAGGATCCTAGATGTTTCAATCATATAAAAACAAAAAATAAAAATAAAAAAAGTCATCAATTCCTCAGAAAAATACAACAATATTTTCCTTTTGAAGAGTAAAACATGGAACACATAAAATATTATAAGATGATAATTGCATATTCATATACACAATCTAACCTCCATATGAAAAATAGTCATCCAAGAGAATATGGTAGGCACCTCAATGTATAACTTAACCCTTATGCTCTCAAATGCCTTATGATCTTTAAACAAGAGTTGTTACGGCTTAGAATTTCACTTGTTTTCTTGTCTTTCATTTTCATGCTCTTTCAAGTTAGCTGTAGCAATATCAGCTTCACTAGACTTCATAAGCTCTTTCAGGTCTCCAAATCCACCGACTTCATCATTGTTTTTCAGGACAGTTTCAGCTTCAGTAAGGCTAGTATTCAATGCCCTTGAAATGCAATGATTCAAATTAAGTTCCTTCATCCAAGGAATGGCATCATGATCAGAACTGTCATCACTGGGGGCATCATTGAGGTGATCTAATGGCCGAGAATCAGGGTAGAAGGACGACGATTCATATTACTCCTCCCTATTTTGGACATAGTACTATGCCCTAAACCTCCAAAGTTATCCATAATGCCAAAAAACTCCTTTGGAAAATCCAAGTTACCAAAAAAATTACCTAATTATAATCAAAACCAACAAAACTCACATGAAAAGAATAATAAATGAAAATTAAAAGATGTACAAACTTCAAATTTGTGCATACATGCAGAGAAAATAATAATCCCCATAAAATTATGGATATTTTCTAGGGGTGGGTAAAAAAAAAAAAAAAACGACCATACCAACCGAGTCGGGTTGGTTTGAACAAAAAAATCGGTTTGGTTTGGTTAATTTTAACCATTAAAACAAAAATATAATTCTTTCTCAAATAATCATTTGTAAGCTTCTAATTTAAATTGTAACTTTAATTTTCATTTTGGTGTAATTGTTTGTTGATAACTATCTGCTATATATAGGATGATACAGACTACACACCAAAAGAAAAAAAATTCATATTTATAGGAAATCAAATTTAACCCCACATGTGTAGGCAATTTTTTTTTAACTCGCACCAGTCTTCAAATTGACCCAAATCAATTTGATTTGGTTTAGTTTTGTTCGGTTTCAACAGTTGGATTGAATCGATTTGAGTTGGAATTTACTCAAACCAATCAAGTCAATTCTGGTTTTGAGTTGGACTCAAAAAAAACCCAACCCAAATGTCCAGGCCTAATATTTTCCATAAAAAGGCAACTTATTACAAAACAAGAAAAACATTTCAAGAACAAGCTGTATAAACCTAGGTGATTTGAAAGAGAGTTAATATACACTTTCAATGTACTTAGATAAATAAATCAGCTTACGATACTAATCTATAATATATTTTATATCACATTAAATGAGAACCATTTTTGGACAATTTCATCCTTACTATAATTCAATTATTTCAATAATATCTTCTTGTTTTTCCATGTGTTTAATTTATTAATCATTCACTACTAAAAAATATGGCTTCAGGCACGAATTTTCTGTTCCTAAGACCTTGATATCCGTTGCTATTACTCTTTACCAAAGGAATATTTGCAACCACAAATCCGTTGTTAATTTGAGGGTCGCTGATAGTTACCAACGGATTGTGCCGTAGGTAAAGAGTAAACATTTTACCAACGGAAATTCCGTTGGTAATGTGTGAATTTTTTATCAACGGAATTTCTGTTGGTAAAAATTTTAACCAATACCAACCGACTTTTCGTTGATAAATGTCTACCATTACAATTGGTAAAAATCAATGTTGTATACAGTCGTATAGGTGTGAGGCATGGTAAAAAAAAATTAAAAAATAAAATTATTTACTTATTTTTTTATAATTGTTATTATTATTTATTTAATAATTATAATTTTTTTAAAACTTTTAAACAATTGAATTGAAAAGCCAAAATATTGTTTAACCACTTATTGGACCACAAATTTATAGAGAACAACTCTAAAAATTTTATTGTAAACTTCCGATGTGGGATAATTGAATTACTTTTACCAATGGATAATCCGTTTTTAATTACCAACGGAATATCCGTAGGTGAAAGATTCAAATGTTAAACGGTCATATTAGGCACAGAATATCCGTTGGTAAAGAGATATTATCATTACCAATGGAAAATTCGTTATTGATTATCGTAGTTAAAAGTGAATTACTTTTACCAACGGATAACCCATTTCTAATTACCAACGGATTGTTTCCGTTGGTAATATTTGACACGTCACCTACGGATATTCCGTATGTGAAAGATCCAAATGTTAAACGGTTACATTAGGCACGAAATATCCGTTGGTAAAAGGATATCATTGTTACCAACGAAAAATTCATTGCTAATTATCGTAGTTAAAAGTGAATTACTTTTACCAACGGATAATCCGTTTTTAATTACCAACGGATTGCATCCGTTGGTAATTTTTCGTTGGTGAAAAACTGTTTTTAGTAGTGATTTGGACCATATGAACGATATTATTTTGTCAATTATTTAGTTATTATCAACATATATTTGACATATTCATTCGACTTGATTGGACAGTAAATTAAATTCATTAAAAAAATTGAACAAAAAATAAATATTTTTAGAGTTTTCTTTTTTCAATTGATTTATTCAATGAATGTTAAGATACAGAGAATGTAAATGGGATGGGGACATTATGTGTATCTATAAAAATAATTTCATTTGATATATTTTATGCATATTAAGCGGAAAATATATTTAGTTCATATTTAAATGTAAATGGAGGGATTATTCTATTTGATTTCGTCAACTATTTAAATTGTTTTCACAAACTAGTTTTTATTTCATTTGAATCAAAAGTTCATTCTACATAAACAATTTCTATTAATTATTTTTCAATATTCTCACATCTTACAATTGTATTTTTAGAGCACATATAATGCATTTCAAAATAATATGCAAAAGACACGTTCAACTATGACTAGTTAAATACAAAATTCCTTTCATAGAGAAACAAACTAAAAGTCGAGGACAATATTTAAAGCAAAATTTTTGGAAAACACTCACAAGAAAACAGAAATAATCAGAAAAATATAAATATGAAACAGTCTCAGTACAACAAAATAAGAAATTTTGAGAAGCGCCCACAAACAAAAACTGGCCAGAAAAAAAATGCTATAAGATATATTAAAAATTCAACAAAAGATTCCACTAGCAAAAGTACAATTTTAAATTCTAATTGAACTTCAAAAAAGTTGTAAATGGCAACAGAGTTAAAAGGTTTTACCTTGTGTATCTTTACTCGCTAGTAACCTCAGAAAATCTGCTTACAGTACCAAGAAAGTTGAATCACAAAGAGAAGATAATGGAGGTAAGGGTTGAGGGCATAATTGTAATTGTGGATTTGAACACAACAGAGTTGGTTTTTATATATTTGTACGACCCCGCTACACAAACATGGATAGTTGACGGGTTGGCACTCAATTAAAAAATAATAAAAATTGAAGACTAAAACGTACCATTTTCTCCCATATCAAATCGACACCCACAATAGATTTTGGGTTGTGTTATGGGTACATTATGAACACCAAGAATTATTCATAAGTTTTTTCCAAATTGAGACCCGCACGAAATGCACAAACGTGCCCAGGCCTCACCATTGCCTGCCACAGTTCAAACGAAGGTAACGTCGGTGGCTCAGTGCTCCTGCAGTACTTCCATCATGGGTTTGGCCATCTTCTGCTTTACCATTTCCGGCCTCGTTTGGAACAAAGGTTGTTATCGCTACGGGGTCATTCCCATCTAAATTTCACTGACTCTTGATTTACCATCACTAGCCGATAGAGTAATAAGATAACACTTTCCTATCTGTCTCACACCATTTGATGTATTATTTTGATAGTATTTTCTTACCTCATATATTAAATTACTAACCGTCACATGTATGTCACGTGGGGTAACTTTGACAATAAGTAATTGTAAATGACATTATTCTACTAGTTAGTGATTATTTATACACAAATGCTATTCGTACAGATTTATTTGCACAGTCTGTACATATGCTCTCACATGGGGGTAGACCCCACACATAGCGTCCACATGTGAGGTCCACCCCATGTGAGAGGCCCTATACACACCCTGTGCAAATGGGTCTGTACAAGGAGTTTATTCCTTATTTATATTTAGTGAGATTTACCATTGATACACTTAAAAATGACTTTCCATGTGATACATCGTCTTTTTGGTTAACTCCAAATATTTATGATTATACCAAAGTAAGGAAACTTAATTAACAAGTCAATTAACGCTTAAACCCTGCCGGCCAGAGCTCTTCCATTCTCATTTATTCTTCATAAATTCTTTCATATTTTCCATTGCCAGGTAAGCAGGCGACTCCTTATCATATTCTCGGTTAATCTCTTATTTTCTTTCTCTGGAAGCTCTTAATTGATTTGATGATCATAATATTTGCTTGACATTCTGACGATATTCAATAAATTTCTAACATGCCCATTTGTAGAGATTTATTATTTAATTCATATTATATGACATGGGCTAAAAGTGTTTGATGATTATCTCTATAATGGAAGGTTTGATGTCAGCAAAGTGAGATGAACTTTCACCCCCATTGTTCTGCTATATGATCTTTATAACCTTTGAATTTGTGCTGCTTTTGTCACAAAATTAATTTTTATTTCGTATAATTTCATATGCAAGTGACATAATTTTATATATGTGCAACGTAAAATATGTATGTTATTTCAAATTTAGATTTGTGGTCATGAAATGGGCTTGTCCTGTTTTTTTTAGAATTGCTAAATTATATGATTTGTAGATATAAATAAAGATTTGTGGGCCCATCAAAAATAAATAAATAATGTTTTATGGTGTCACGAAGTGCTAGATCTATTCCATGGGTAGTCTTTGTAGTGTTTGTTATGCAAGTTTTGTTGATCAAAGCACATACATTCTTTCTAGGATGGAGTGTTTGTTTCAATAGTTCAAGAAGTGTGCCTGACACGGTATATCAATTAGCATATCCTTTTCTTTTTTCAAATTTTCCAACTTATGAGGGAGACTACGTCGACTCTTTCAGACAAGTTTATGACGTACATTTGTTTGATCTATGTTTTCCAATTTTCGACATGGACGACACGTCCTGTCCACATCAAGGACAGGGCGTGCCTCGTTTTTTGGCATTGTGAAACATAAACATAATGAATGCACTACAAGAACAATTCAATCCACGTATAAAAAATTTTAAAAGAAAAGTAGAGTACTCGGATTTCATGTGGTTCAGAGTTTCCTCCTACATCTACTGGAAAAAGGCTCCAAGATTGTCTTTCTTAATTCACCAAACAGTTTCAAGAATTGCACCTTCCACACTTTAAGTCTAAAATCTCAACCACAGAGAAATTCTCACTGTTTGTATCATGCACAAGAAGAAACCTCTCAAAATTGAATCAGGAAATGGACTTTCTTAAATCTCTGTTACGCTACATATTACTGCCTCTGCCGACTTCTGGAATGAAACTGCTTCATCCCAGTTCTGGAGTTAACGAACAGAATATCATTGTGCAGAAGTCTGGAAGCAACGATCTTTAATTTTCATTGACTTCAATCCAGCTTCTAAACAAGTCTATAGAATAATTAGCCATTTGTCAACAGTAAAACTAGAAAATTTTAATAATTAGAACATTTGTGTAAATGATAATGGAAGAAAAATTTTATGTAGTTCATGTCAATTTTTTTTACATCTATTATCTTGAGAAGACAGAAGTAACTCAAATCCAAAAGTTTCTCACCTCAAAATTTAAAATTAGAACTAGAAAAACCATAATGTTGTAGAATTTTTTTTTTTTTTTTTAAATGAATGAATATAAAGACATTATTGGCTTGTTTGTTGCTTGTTTTAAAAATCAATTTTTTAACCAATAGCTTGAAAGGTGGGTCCCACCCGTGAGTGAAGATGTCAAAAAATACAGCTTACTATGTTAAGTAATGGTCAAAAAATTGATTTTTTGGATTGAAAAATCAGCACCAAAGAGGCTATATATACATGTGTAATTTAAAGAATTCTAAGTGATGTTTTTGTGTCCTAATTTTCTGAAAAGTTACTTTTTGATGTGTTCAACATTGTGCCGTGTATAGTGGTTATATCTATAGTCAGGTGGCCAACAAATATGAACCTAGTGAAGTATTAGATATTCTTTTTGGAGAGGTTCTCTTCAATCTTCATTGTTTTGTTTCCTAGTTAATTTCTTTTGGACGGTCAAATTTACAGCTTTGTTTATTTTTCTGCATTTCATGGAATCTTTTGTTGCTAGAATCTTCATTTGCAAGGGCAATGTGATTTGTAAATTTGTTGTGCTTTAGAAATAAAACAGAAAATGAGAAATGCCCATCTAACTTCCCTTTGTGTTTATGGTCTGAATGCCAGATATTTTATCGAAACTTTGTAGTAGGCACTCATGGGGACTGTTGTTGACACTGGAAACAAGGTACTTCTTTTGATCTTGTTTAAGTTTCACGTTCTGATGCTTTTACAAAATTCAGAGTATTTATTATAAACTAACTTTCATTTCAGGAAGCATATGGAAGTGCAGATTCTAACAAGAAAGATAAAGTTATTTTTGCCCTTGGTAAGTTATGTGGTTTCCATATTTTTATAGTATTATGGTTTAATGAATCTTTGTTTACATAGAAGTTCTGTTCGCATGTTCAGCCCAGTTGAAATTTGAAGTAACTTTATATCGTTATCTTTGATGCCTCTCTTTGGTAACTTCAATACGGTTTTTAATATATTCATGCAATAGTTATCTATTATATGTTGAACTTGGTGTCTTCCTAATAAGGATAATAGTAATGGAACCAGAATTCTTTAGTGAAGATTGTGTTCACGTTATATTAAGTTAAGTAGCTATGATACTTGGGCTCGGGTACGGATACGTATAAAAGTGTCGGATCTTTTATTTTCTAAAATGTAGGATATGGAAACATGGCTAAAAAGATTTCAAATTTTGGACACGGATACATGAATATATGTTTCAAGCTTCAATTTTTTTGCTAACCAATTATTTCATTTTGAATAAACCAAAATCAATTGTCCATAAAGAAGGAAATGAGTATTGAATAAGGGATTAAGAAGAATAAAATAGAATTTTGAAATTTAGTTTTCAATTATGAGAAATTAACTACTAAATGTTATATAAAATAGAAAATTAGGAATTTGATTGCAATTTGGACTTAGTTGAGCACGAATTAGCATCATATGGAACTCATTTTCATTTTTATGTAAACAAAACCTTAAACCACTAATACAAAGAGGGAAAGATGAAAAAAAATGAAGAAAAGGGAAAGAAAAAAGAAAGAAGAAAAAGAAGGGAAAATCTAGTGTCGTTGCTTCTCTCCACCCTCTCAGAGGTGGTGCTAGGCTTATAGAAAACAAAAATGGGAAAAAAAAAGGAAAAGAATAAAAAAAGAAGAAGACAAAGAAAGAAGAAGAAGAAGTAAAAACGACAAAATGTCCGGTTGAAACTTGAAGGATCGATACATATCCCATACCTATACCCATGTCATGTCGTGTCCGACATGGGTACTCCGACCATTTCAAAGAGTCCGAGCATCAAAATTAAGTAGCATTCACTTCAAGACAATGAATATTTATCCTGTTCTTTTTTTTGTTAATTTGCTATAACTTAGAGAATTCCGATATGTGTGTTATTTTCTTTCCTTTAAACTTGAGCAGGTGGTCCTTGCAGTGGCAAGGGCACTCAGTGTCCAAAAATTGCCCCGAACTTTGGTTACACCCATCTTAGTGCTGGTGACATTCTCCGAGCAGAGAAAGAATCTGGTTCTGAAAACGGGTACTGTTTCATTGTAGTGCCATATAATTTTATGCGCATACTCATATCCTCGTATAAATTTTTTCACAAGAGGATAATTTTTGTCTTCCTTTATCAATGGTCTCATTTCCCAGCTTTAAATTTGTTTCTTTAAATCATTTTCTTGGTAATCCTGCTCTCTCTCGGATGAAAATTTTGTTTATCAACTAACTATGAAGGTACATTCTAGATGTGTCTTCCGTCTAACGAATACGGAAGTTGTAGTAATTTTCTTGAATGTGTGTTGTCTTTTGCTTCAAGTGAACTCTATCCAAAAGAGGCATCAACTATTACTCAATCACTTTTAACTTTTATGCAGCATTCCAGATTGTTCTGTCAAACTCTTTGAAGTTGCAACTAGTCTAACTATTGGTGCTGGATGTACAGGACTACGATTCAGAGCATTATGAATGAGGGGAAACTTGTTCCTTCAGAGATAATAGTTAAGCTTATCCAACGAGCAATGCAGGAAAGTGGGAATGATAAATTTCTTATAGATGGTTTCCCTCGAAATGAGGAGAATCGTGTGGAATTTGAGTCTGTTGTAAGTCTCCAACTATAACTATTCCTTAATTCTCTATCTATTTCCAGCACCATTATCTACTATATCTGTCTTTCTTTAGTTTTATATTGTCTCCATTTTCTTTTAGTGCATTCGAAGAATATATTATGCATGTCATTGGCATTTTCATGTTTATTGGACGCTTCTGTCATTTGCAGATAGGAATTGAACCTGAATTTGTTATTTTCTTTGGCTGTTCCGAAGAAGAAATGATTAAGCGCATGTTGAGTAGGAAACAGGTATTAAATAGCTTTCTTTATCTTCCTAATCCAAATTTCTCGTATTTCCATTTCTCCCACCATTTTCTGTCTCTTGTATTTATTTGCCTTTACTTCTTTCTTTGTTCTCTTGTTCGCTATTTGAAGAGTAGAGAAGATGATAACTTTGACACAATGAAGAAGCGACTAGAGGTTTATAGACAATTTAGTCTCCCAGTGATTGAATATTACAACTCTAGAGGGATGGTTCGAAAGGTAGTAATAGCATATATCGTCAATATTCTTCCTTTTCATTCCAAGAAAAAAGCTGAAATGGAGCTGACATTTCTTTCGATTTTAGATTGATGGCGAGAAATCCATTGAAGAAGTTTCCGAGGCGGTCAATGCTGTTTTCACTTCATTGATTGACGAGGTAGAAACAGCATATTGATGTTCTGCTTAAAGATGCTAAATTACCCAATTTATACTATCAGTTTCGAATGTAGAAAATGATTTGATGAATAGTTCAAACACTAGCATCGATGAGTGAATTACAGATGGATAAGTGCCCTTTTTATTTCAATAAAAAGTAACAGGATCAAGTATATGTTTTGGTGTCTTTTTATGTCTGCTCAAATTAAATTCCATGGTTGTCTGGTATTCAAGAAAAAGATTACTATAATATCACTTGTCGTGGTTTGGTAAAAATAAAAAATAATAATAAATATTGGTTGTCGTCTTCTTAGCATGTTGATGCAGTGTTGCTTTCGTTCATGTTTCATTAAGTGTTTGAATATATATATATATAGGGGCACATCCCTCCCTCACCATGAAGCACACACATACGTCTTCTCTTACTACATTTTTCCACAACTACACGGTCCTGCTATCCATTTCTTGAATCAATTAATCTCTGCTGCATCAACAAGAACAATTAAAGACAATCGAGTTCCTAAGAACACAGAAATTATTCTGCAGTACATTGTTTATTTTCATGGTATCAGAGCGCTGTCCTAGTAGCTCTTGAAATCTATTACCTTCTGCTACGTCATGGGAAAAACCATGACTACAGAAACATCAATAGATACTGATAAATCGGATCTCTATTCTCTACGTCAATCGGATCATCCAGGCATTGTTCTCGTCTCCAAACTGCTTGAAGTCGGATCATCCAGGCATTGTTCTCGTCTCCATACTGCTTGAAGGAGAGGACTACGGCACATGGAGTCGTGCTATGAGAATTGGTTGAAGCGCTAAAAATGCTATCAAACCGCCTCCTTCGACAAATGCAAGTTTCGAGTCATAGCAACGGTGCAATGATATGGTCTTGTCATGGCTATTAAACTCTGTTAATCCAGACATAGCAAGTAGCATCATGTATGCCAAAACTGCTGCAGAGGTTTGGGCTTAGCTATAAGCGCGTTTCTCTCAAGGGAATGACTCAAGGATTCATCAAATCAAGCTGAGTAATCGCAAAACATAGACAAGGGCAGAAATCTATTTCTGTATGCTACAACAAACTTAAGGCTTTTGGGGATGAACTTTCATCCTATCATGACTCTCTGTGGTGGCATGGAAAAACATAACGAGAGAGAAGAGAAGGAGAAAGTCGTGCAATTTTCTCATGGGATTGAATGGTGGGTATTCTGCCACTCGTGGACAGATCTTGCTGATGCAGCCCTTACCCGACACTCGCCGTGTTTATTCGCTCGTCCTTCAACAAGAAAAACAGGTGGAAGTTTCTCTCAATTGTGGCAATATTAATCACCATGCTCTGTTTGTAGATCAGCACAGCAAAGCCATACAAGCAAATCAAGCTCAGAAGCAAAAACAAAGGAACACATTACATTGTTCATACTGTGATCAAGACTATCACAGCATTGAGAAATGTTCTTCATGGATTTCCAGTGGGTCATAAACTTCATGGTAAAAATGTCAAGCCAACCAACATCGTTCTAGTGCCAATTCTGTAAAAAATGAATCCGAAAAAATGGCAAATACAGGTACAAAAAATTAACGATTTTACTCATTATGCTTGGGTACATCTTATGAGTTTCAAATAAGAGTATTAAAATCTTTCTTCTCCTGGGTGGAAACACAACTCAATCGTTATGTTAAATCCTTGCGTACAACTATAGTGGTCCTCTTCAGCGTTGTGGTGAAGATTTATGTTATGGTGTGACTATTGTTTTAAATAAAAGAAAATAACCGAGCAAAGCTAATGCTAGGGGTGGACGCGGGTCAGTTCGGTTCGATTCGGTTATAAAGAGAATCGAACCGAACCAAAATTTTCGGGTATCTAGTAAATGGAATCGTCGGGTCCAAATATAATTATGGAACCGTTCGGGTTCGGTTCAGTTCGATTCGGTTTCGTTCAGTTCTGTACTATAATTAAATTTTTTTAACATTTATAACAACATTATATAGATACAATTAATGATACATTCAATGGTTTTGGAATGTTAGATACTGATAAACTACCTTGTTCAAATGATCGCTACGGTCAAAGTGTCGGCCGACGATTGTATTGGTTTTGGAATATTAGCGAGACTGCGAGAGTAAGTACGAGGGTCGAGACAACGTTATGCATTTTAGTGTAGGCGTTTAGGGTTATTTAGTAGATTGGATCTTGTTGGGCTAAGAAATGAAACAATAAAATGGGTAATTTGGCCAAAAATTTAAAAATTAGAAATGAAACAAATTATTGGGCCAAAAATTTAGATTTAGAATTTGTTAATTTGTTTAGAAAAAATTAAAATTAAAATAATTTGATTTACTCAATATAAAAAAAAATTAGAAAAATTCGGTTCTTATTCGGTTCTTCGGTTCTTGGTCTAGAACCGAGAATCGAACTGTACCAATCGGTTCTCAATTCAAATACCCGTTCGGGTATTTAATTTGACAAGAACCGTCAGGTTCGGTTCGAAAGATTTGTTCAGCCCTAGCTAATGCTGATAAGTAAAATTAAATAAAAATTGCTATCTTAGTAATAAGCGGATCAACAATAGGGGCCTCTGCCCTCATACTGCATTTGAAATCTAAGATTTTGCAACATATATTTCAAGATTTTACAAAAAATCTTAAGAAAGTAAATAAAAAAAATAAATAATTAAATTCTTTATTATTTTTAATTTTGCCCCCACAACTTTACTCTCTTGGCTCTGTCCCAGACCTTACCTAACAAACAAAGTTGGCTTCGTTTATTGTTCATTTAAGTTGGCTCAAATGCCAACGATTAGTATGTATTTCATTAAGATAATGGTAGAGTTAGTTATGACAACTTGAGATCCATAAGATACTAGCAGTTGGATTTGCTTAAATTAAATGTCAAGATTATTTATCAAAAATACTTGTCAAATCCATGTGTAGGAGGAATCCTATATATATATATACACACACACACACACACACACACACACACACACATACACATACATATATATATACACACACACACAGACCACCAACCAAAGATCCAATGACCAACTAAAAGTGGTTGCTATAAAACACAATCACTTTCCAAATATTGGTTGGCAGATGTTTTGGTCTATTAAAATTGGACTAATTTGGTTATGCTCTTCAGCGACCACGGAATGGTCGTTGTTGTGATGATTCAACAACCAACTTTTCATTGGTCGTTGAAAAGCATTTTTTTGCCTGTTTAATCTATCACTCATGTGGTCGTCTGATATTTCTGCTTTCCCACGAATGAACAAAACATTTCAAGCTCACATGTTGAAAAGAAGGGATTCTCCATGAATTCACCGTTCATAAATGCTTACAAACACTTGTTTGTCTAGTAGAGCGATGAGAATTAGATAACTAATATAGTAGAAGATGTGAACGAATGGATATGTACACTCAATACTATTCGTTGTTGATTCTAACAAAT